TCCTTTTGTATGTTTTGGAATAGTTTGAGTAGGATAGATGTCAGTTCCTCTCTGAATGTTTGGTAGAATTCTCCAGTGAAACCATCTGGGCCAGGACATTTTTTGTTGGTCATTTTTTTATGACTTGTTTAATTTCTTCTTTTGTTATGGATCAGTTCAACTTTTCCACCTCAGTCTGTGTTAGTTTAGGTAAGTAGTGTAATCTGTCCATTTCTTCCAGATTTCCAAATTTGTTGCAGTACTGCTCTCTTCATAGTATTCTGATAATAATCCTTTTTATTTCAGTTGGTTCTGTTGTGATGTCACTCATTTCATTTCTTACTGTGTTATTTGTATTCTCCCCTCTTTTCCTTTGTTAAATTTGCCAGTGGTTTGTCAATTTTATTAATCTTTTCAAAAAACCGACTTCTGTTCTTGTTGATTTTTTCTATTGTCTTTCTATTTTCTGTTTCATTGATTTCTGCTCAAATCTTTATTATTTCCTTTTTTTCTGGTGACTGTAGGCTTTTCTTGGCTATTCTTTTTCTAATTATTGGAGATGTTGTTTTAAAGTGTTGATTTTGGCTTTTTCTTCTTTTTTTGATGTGTGCATTTATTGCTATCAATTGGCCTCTGATCACTGCTTTTGCTGTGTCCCCAAGATTTTGATATTTTGTATTTTCATTCTCGTTTGATTCAAGGAATTTTTGAATTTCAATTTTGATTTCTTCTCTTACCCAGTCTTTCTTAAGGAGGGGGTTGTTCAGTTTCCATGTGTTTGCTCTTTTTCTGTTGATCTTCCTATTGTTAATTTCTAATATGATAGCATTTTGATCTGAAAAGTTTCTTTGTGGTATTTCAGTGTTTTTTAAATTTATTAAGACTTGCTTTCTGGGCTAACATATGGTCTATCATGGAGAATGTTCCATGTGCACTGGAAAAGAATGTATATTGTGATGTTATTGGATGAAGTGATGTGTAGATGTCTATGAGGGATCAAGTTGGTGGATTGTATTGTTTAGCTCTTCACCATCTTTGTTGAGTTTCTTTTCAGTTGTTCCATCTTTCATTGAGAGTGGTGTATTAAATTCTCCCACTATTACTGTGAAGTCATCTATTTGCCTTTTCAACTCTTAAAGTTTGATTTATGTATTTTGTGGCCCTTTCATTGGGTCCATAAATATTTATTATGGTTCTAGTTTCATGTTCAATTGATTTTTTTAATCATTATATAATGTCCTTCCTTGTGTTGTATCATGTTTTTTGTCTTAAAGTCAATTTGGTCAGAAATTAATATTAACACTCCTGCTCTTTTTTGGAGGCGCTCTGGTAGTATAGTGCCTAAGACACTTGACTGCTAACCAGAAGGCTGGCCGTT